AATAATCTTCGGCATTATCGAGGTAAGATTAAAACAAGGAGTGACACTGGAATCCTGAGATTCATAGCTTTGACGTGGTATGAAAAAAGATCCATAAATATTGCAATTTCTTACTGATCGAGACTCTCAAACTTTGATGAATAAAAACAGGTGCTTTTCCTCAGAGCCAGCGTCTTTTTAATTTTAAGCATTTTGCACTAAGGTTAGAAATTTTTTATTTGGTACACATTTTAGGCACATAACAGGTATACTTTTGAGCAACTTTGAAAATTATTCATCAAAGTTTGACGGAATTATCAACCAAAGTGTTGGCGGATTTTGGTGTCATTTGCAGTTCAAATTGTTAGTTTTCAGCGTCTCTAGATAAGGGATTTTGAGGAAAAGTTGTAAAAAGCTTATTTCTGAGGGTTCATGAATACAGGTCAATGTGTGTGTAATATCTAAGCATAACTCCTGGTAGATTTTCTCATCCATCGCCATTTGTACCCCCCGAGACGTCAAATGTGGGTCCCCAGTCCGGCTCGGATTGTTCGATTTCCTTATATGGTGTTCAGACACCTATAAAAAGTTTATATCTGAAGGTACAAATATTCTGCTTCGTGTGTGTGTAATAACTAAGCATAACTCCTGATACATTTTCTCATCCATTGCCATTTGTACCCCTGAGACCTCAAATGTGGGTCCCTTGTCTGGTTCGGATTGTTCGATTTCCTTATTTGGTGTTCAGACACTATATGAAAAGTTTATATCTGAAGACTCCTGGTAGATTTTCTCATCCATCGCCATTTCTACCCCCCCCCCCACCGAGACCTCAAATGTGGGTCCTTTAGTCCGCTACGTATTTTTCGATTTCCTTATATAATGTTCAGACCTAGTTCAGACACCACATGAGAAGTTTATATCTGAAGGTTCATATATTCAGCTCAATGTGTGTGTGATAAATAAGCATAACTTCTGGTAGATTTTCAAATCCAGTGCCTTTTGTACCCCCGAGACCTCATATGTGAATCCCTAGTCAGGTCAGATCTTTCGATTTCCTTATATAAACCATGGGCTTTCTCTTGTTTATTTCTGGATTAATGTGTGTATAAATAAAGCAACTCCTGGTAGATTTTCAAATCCAGCACCTTTTATACCCCCAAGATCTCATTCGAGAGTCCCTATAGTCTATTTCCTTACTATGGCTGTAAGGTGTTACAGCTAAATGTGAGTGTAGATTTTACTCCTGGTTGATTTTCTCATGCAGCACTCTAAGTGCCCAGAGAAATCATTTTTGAAAAAATTGCTATCCTGCACATTCATTTATGTACAAAATAGTATGAAGGCATGTGTATATTTGCTTGTTTTTTCAGGAAAGTATCCTTGCATTCTTCTTTTAGTTAGTATACCTGGTAACAGGTCAATGGCAACTCCAGGAAATACTGATATATCAAAAAAAATCATTCCAATGGTCGCCTTTTCAATTTTCCAAATTTCATATATAGAAGTTTCTGGATAACACTGGATTGTCATTGACCAATTACTAGGTTTACTAAAAGAAGACATTATATAATTGATGTTTTCCTGAATAATGCAAGAAAATACACATGCCTTCATACATATTTCATTTTGTACCAGAAAATAACATGGGCAGGAAGGGTTGCATTTTTCAAAAATGTTTTCTCAAGAAAGAATAGCCTTAAGGTATAGTACGTACATTACATGTGGACAAAAACATTTTTAGTAGCCTACAACAACAAAGGTTTGACTGTTTGATATTGAATGTACAACATGACTCCATATATGGTAGAATATTCATTTGGAAGAACCCTGGGTGCCAATATGTACAACACGCCTTCAAAGAACCCAAATCAATGTTTTTTGTACTTCATATGATCTATATAATTCTGTTTTTCAACCCTGTATACCATGAATGCATTTCCATTTTTCATTTGCAGGAGTAAGGATGCCTACTTTCAAGCAGCATTTTCTACCCACACATTGAAAGATTTGGATGATCCTGATCCCTCAAGCTAAGTATAACATGGCAAGGTAAAAGAAAACTAAACTGAAGTGGCACATTTAGTTGTTCATCCCTTTCTTCAATTTATTGAGGTTATATATATTTTGCAAGTGGATCCAAGAGACCCAAGTGGGCGAGTTAATTATTTTGCAGTGGTGGCATGATACACACATTTCAATTTAATATATTGTGAATTCCCAGAGATTGATTTCAGTACAGTAAAACTGTCATAATGAACACCTCTTTAGTGAATATCTGTGCCCAGTGATCACATGACTCTACTATATTGAACACCTGTGAATAGTGAACAACTATTCCCAGCCAGTGATTTCAGTACAGTAAAAATATCAAAATGAACACCTCTTTAGTGAAGATCTGTGCCCAGTGAACACATGCGTCTACTCTATTGAACACCTGTGTATAGTGAACACCAATTCCAAGCCAGTGATTTCAGTACAGTAAAACTGTCATAATGAATATCTCTTAAGTGAAGATCTGTCAGTCTGTGCCCAGAGAACATATGATTCTACTCTATTGAACACCTGTGTATAGTGAACACCAATTCCCAGCCAGTGATTTCAGTACAGTAGAACTGTCATAATGAACATCTCTTTAGTGAAGATCTGTGCCCAGCGAACAAATGAGTCTACTCTATTGAACACCTATGTGTAAGCGAACACCAATTCCCAGCCAGTGATTTCAGTAACTTTTAGAGGGGATTGTACCTACAGTAAAACCTGTCTAGTCCAAGGGACCAGCTAAAACATTCGGAGTGGGAGGTGTTCACGTTTCGAAGTTTTGGATTTGCAATTAGATTTTGGATTTTGAAGAAAAAGGAACAAATTCTTATAAATATTTATAGTTCTTTTGACTACATAGCTTTATGGCATTACAGAAAATCCAATTCAAATGAATTTAGTCATCCTAGAAAGCCCCACCATGAGTGAGATCATTCACGGTTTTTCAAATATTTGATCAATTTTGTATGGAACATGTGATATTTAGGTTGATTTTTAAAAAATGACTGTTCACTGTTCAAATTGGGAGGGTTCACATTTCATTTTTTTTAAACATTTGAGTCAATGGGAGGAAAAACAGAACCAAAAAAATGTTCAAAATGTGAGGTATTTGGATTAGCCAAGTGTTCAGATATACAGGTTTTACTGTACTAATCTTTTAGAGGAAAGTGTACATCATTCCAGAGAAATGACAGTTGACACACTGCCATGGGAACAGGTCATATCAGATGTTCCCAGCTTTACGTCCAGGAGAGGTTATTTCCAAGGATTATAGATGAACCCTTGGCCAATCAATGATATAGTTTACATATTTGTGCATTCTAATCTGGTTTTTATTGAATTAACTTTTAGTAGGTTTCTTTAATAAGGCTATGTGAGTATGTGGAAATTGATATATGTATATCCTGCCACCCCTGCAAAATAATGGACTTGCCCACTTGGTCTCTTGGATCCACTTGTAAAATATATATAACCATTTCTGGACCTCCTATTGACTTTTGAAGATTTCATTGTTGAATTAATAGGCCTGTCATACTTGTCATACATTTAACAACTATGAGGTGAGTCAGCATATGAATTATTCTAAGAGTTGTGAATGATGGATCTCCTAAAATGTATAAATTTTAGGGCTGGGTTCAAATCCCAGATGACTCAACATTGTATGCGCTTCTCTGGTTATAAATGTTTTGATTTTTGTAAATGGATATTTTACCTTTACATTCAAGAGGGCTATTGTGCTTACTTAATTCTAGAAATGATTTCATATTTTTACTTATCACTAACATACAGTTAAATTAGTTGCAAGAGTCAACCAAAAATGTAGTGCTTTTACAGTTATACTGGGCTTATCATTTCCTTCAATACTAGTCCCTCATCTTGGTCAAAAAAAAAATTATTTTAGAAAATTCTTCATCTTGGAATGGTAAAATGGTTTTCAATTTTGCTTGACACAAAATTCTAATTAGTACTTTGAACTCAAAAAGTTAGCAATCAAATGACCATACTGCAACAATTTATAAAAAATAGAAACATATGTACAAGACCTAACTTTTGTGTATTTCAGGTGGTTAGGTATAATGTCCTGTAAAGCTGTGGCCCTATGTAATTCAAAGTAGGAAATAGAATTTTGAATCAGACTGTAGTTAGATATGCAAAAATCCATGATCAAATTTTAACTTTTGAGTTTACCTTTCATGACATTTGCAACTGCAAGTGTAAACTATATTGTCATACATTTAATAACTTGTAATTTCCTAGATAGTAAAAGGAAGCCTGTATTCAGCAGTTCAGTAACATTAAAAGATAAATGGATATTTTACATGTTTTACAGTTGTATGCTCCTCTGTGGTAAAGGAGAACAAAGACTTGGTCTATAATCCATCCTATTCACCATGATCATAATAGGCCTATAGATTGCAAAATGTTTACATATATCAGGTAGCAAACAGAATATTGTTTATTCATTCATTTACTAATTTATTTATTCAAGTATCACAAAGTTCATTACATTCATTCAACTCTTTCTTTGATACAGAATATTGTTTATTCATACATTTATTACAATTTTAAGTTCATTACATTCATTCAACTCTTTCTTTGATACAGAATATTGTTTATTCATCCAATTACTAATTTATTTTTTCAAGTATCCCAAAGTTCATTACATTCATTCAACTCTTTCTTTGATACAGAATATTGTTTATTCATACATTTACTAATTTATTTATTCAACTATCCCAAAGTTCATTACATTCATTCAACTCTTTCTTTGATTTTCATTTTCTGCTCTCGGGCCAGTTTACGTGCCTCTTGGAACCTCTGGAAAGTAAAAGGTAGATTAAATATTGATTGATGTAGAGTTTGTCTACTTAAGAAGTCTAGTTCCATTTCATTAAGATATTCTGAATGATTTTCTTTAAGTTCACACTTTTAAGTAATGTATCAAAATTAAAAGCTCTATCTAAGTTTTACTAGATACACCACAGGACATACTTTTTCCTGTAATTTTCCCTGTAGTTTATTCAGGAAAATTATATTCTATAAATTATGGTACTTGGGGACATTACTGTAAGTAATTGAAGTTTCTTTTAGTTTTACAGTGTAACTGTTTTGACATAACTAACCTTTCTTTTCTCCTCATACTTCTGCCTCATTTCAGCAGTGAAAGGAATAAAAGAATAAAAAATGAACGAAGAATTGCAGATTAAGCCAGGCTGCAAGCAAGAAGCTGGTAAAGGAAGAAAACCCCCTAAAATAAAGGTTAGTGCGGAGCAGTAAGCATTTGCCAATCTCAAACAACCTGTGTTAGATAAATGAATAGAATCCCCTAAATAACAAGACTCAAATAAATTAGAATTCAAGTTGCCGTGCAGAAAAAGACGCTCGCAGTTCAAAAAAGCTAAATGTTCCTGTCGGCACAATTCAAAAATACGGCGATTAACATAACGTGCCTTCTTATTGAAATTATGTTGATTAAAGCGAGGAAGAATACCCACAAAACAAATTCTAGTACTTGAACTGAACTTTTTACGAAGAGTAGAAATAAGATTTGGAAAAAGTGAATGTGCAAAATAAGATAAAGGGGTCCTGACTTTCTCTGTTCCTTTCTCGTAAATGTCATTGCCTCCACAGATGACAAATACGAGATCTGGATCCAGACAAAGATCAGGCCCAAATGGTAAATTATGAATTGCAGTAGCTATGGACGGTAAAGTACCGCCCGGAAAGAAAGAGGAAAACAATAGGAAAGAAGAGAAAACAAAATAATACTTCAGAACAGATTCCATAGCTTCCTTCAGCCCCCTGCCATGACTTGTGCTTATAAGTTGTATATGTTGGATTGGCATCTGAAAAAAATAATTTTAACCCTAAATTTGTAGCATGGTTGCTTTCAGAGAAATTGACATAGGGCTTGGCATCAGAGCATGTTATATTGGAAAACAGCCAACAGCATAAAGTAAAAAAAATAGACCAATGAAAGCTTAATAGGATGAAAGAACATTGAACAAGGTTTTATTTTGCCAAATATGAGTTAAAATCCATGTTGGAAAAGGGAGTTATTTGGGTTACCCTTTTTTGGCTCACCCTGAACAATGAAATGATGTGATTTAATAATAAAAAATGCCATGTTTATTTTCAGAGTAATGAGTTAGAGGATTGCTGTATGTGTTCCGGTTTTATTGGAACATCATTATGTCAGAATCATTCATGATGAGTAGGATAAGAACTGTCTCAAATAAGGCCATATAATAAAATTTCAACAATCGGTGCAAAGCATTACAGGTAGGCAAACTTCCAAATTCTTTTTTACAAGATAACTATTCCAATCAGAGGATTATCCTGAAATGATGAGGTCAGAACTATTTGGCCTTTAATGCATGTAATGCTGAGTCATAACATAAGGTGATGAGAGTGAAATATATTCTGCTAAATTCAATTACTAGTACTAGTAAACAAAATTGATGCATGTCAAGTAATAAAAAATCTGGAAA